CCAGGAAGAGAAGCACTAGCTATATAGTCCCATCTACTTGGGAGACTGAAGTAAGAGAACTGCTTGAGCCTACCCTACCAATTCAAGATCAACCTGGGCAACATAATGATACCCTACTTCTAAAATAAGAAGGGAGGGAGAAAGAAGTAAGTTAATTTGTAAGTTAGTTACAAACACAGCTTTAGAGTCCAAAGAGACCTGGATTCAAGTCCTGACTGCGTCATTACTAAATGTATAGACTCTTTGCAAACTTCAATTTCCTCATCTCTAAATTGGGAATAACATTATTTTCTTCACGTGGTACTTGTAAGGTTCGTTTTAGTATATTTAGCTCAATGGACAACAAATACTCAACATAGCTATTATATTTCTAGAAATCAAAGTAGTAGAACCATATATAACCAGACCATATAATAGCTTGACATACTCACAGAACTATAGCAATTTAGTATGGCCTGACATGGTGTCACATGCCTGTGTTACCAGCAACCTAGAAGATCACTGTGAATTGGAGACCAGCCTGGGCTACATAGTGAGAAAGTCAACCTTGAATACATAGCAAGACCATGATACACACACCAAAAAAAAGAAAAGAAAGAAATAGAGCAAATAGAGGACATTGAAGATAAGGTTAGAATGCTACATAAAAGCCAAACCCTAAATAATCTTGCATTCCACAACAAGGAATTTGGATCCTTTAACAAAGGAATAGGAAGGATTCTAGCCAAAGAAGTGACATAACTGAACTGGCATTAAAGAATTTACTCTTTATTTCAGGGAAGAAAGAACTTAAGAATAAGCTTGGAGGTAAGTAGAAACAACCAGACGTTACTGCAATAGTAGAAGTGAAATATGATGTCTGATTTACAGCAGACGCAGTAAAGATATAGAGAAAAGAATTACTTCAGTATATATGGTGGGAAACAGCAGCAGATGTGCTCTGAAGTCTCACTAAAGTAACTACCAGATATAGGCAACACTAAAGGTGAAGGAAAAAAGGATAAAGGTGGAGGGGGAATGAGGTGAACCTGAGAAATTTACGGAAAATATATATAATAGAAAATGGAGGGCTGGGGATTTAGCTCAGTGATGCCACACGTGCCTGGCAAGCCCAAGGTCCTGAGTTTGATTCTTTTTTAATTTTTTTCTTTTTCTTTTTTTTTTGGTACTGGGGATCAAACTCAGGACTTTGCACTTACAAGGCAGGCACAGCACCACTAAGCTAAATCCCCAGCCTGAGTTCAATTCCTGATAACAGAAAAAAAAAAAAAAAAAAAAAAAAAAAAGAAAATAGTTGGAAAAACTATTTCCAACTAGAAAGTAGCTCTTAAAAGTGAGAGGGGAGCCACATGGATATCTCAGAGAATGCTCCCAATAGAAGGAACTGCAAATGTCAAAGACCTGCAGCAGGACACACTTGGAGAAATTCATAGAACACTTTCAGTTCTGCTCAGATATGATCTTTTGATGATGGACTATGTATGCTTTTAATTTTAAATCACTGCCCCTTTAAACCTGACACTTAAAGCCCATTCATTGCCTGAAGACAACCTTTATGAAAATCATCCAACTAATACGGGGCAATGATCCATACATTAAATTTCTACCTTGAACTGTCAGAGAACCATGAAAAACTTAAATGAGGTTATTCAATTAAAGTACACAGGCCAGATGTGGTGGTACTGTAATCCTATAAACCTACCACTTGGGAGGCTGAGGCAGGAGGATTGCTGTGAGTTCGAGGCTAGACTGAACTACACGGTGAGACCGTCTCAAAAAAAAACAGTTTACAATGACTGGAGCAGTCAAATATAATTTATTAATATCTGAAAGGAATTTGGTAGCATTCTAAATCTTTCCCACTCCTCTGTTAAAGGATCCAAATTCCTTAGTATGGTATACAAGACTATTTAGGATTTATTTGGCTTTCCAACCTTATCCTCACTTGCCCTCTGTCAAAATATAGTTTGAACAATTTATCCTGTTTTCTTATTCTCTGAAATATTCATATTCCTGAAAAGTCTGATGTCTAAAAAAGCAGCAAACACATTTTTTTCTTCTTTGTAATTCTAAAGCTTGGTATAAAGTTTAACAAATGACAGGCTCTAAATAAATAATTCTACTTTAAAATAGCAACCAGAATTCTTAAACAAGCTTAGCATGGTGCACACCTGTAATACATGCACTTCAGAGGGTGAATCAGGATGACAGTTGCAAGTTCAAGACCAGCCTGGGCTATCAGTAAGTTCAAAACCAGCCTGAACTACATAGTGAGACCCTGTCTAAAAAAAAAAAAAAAAAA